CCCCCCACACACATGCATACCCATGTATATTATTTATTATTATTATTATTATTATTATTATTATTATTATTATTATTATTATTATTATTATTATTATTATTATTCGGCATGTATGTGCCAACTGCCAAGGGCCCTGATTTTTTTAAAATGGAGTATTAAATATATACGGAGTATATCATACTCCCTCCGTTCTCAAAAACACTTCCTCTTTCATTTTTTCCACTTCCAACAAAACACTTCCCCTTTCTATTAAAAAACCACTTTTACCCTTACTTTTTCATACCCTACCTATCACATCATACTTTTTCTCTAATAATCTATCCATCACATCTTACTTTTACCCATCACATCAGGGACAAAATTGGAAATCAACTATTCCCTCCGTCCATGTATGATCTTCCCATTACGCGTTACGAAGCTTGACCGACTTTATTTTCAATTCGATTTAATTGATTATAGAAGTAAAATTTTAAAATAAAATTTATATAGTAATAAACTACATGAAAAGTTCTACAAAACTAGAGGTGACAAGAATATATTATTTTATAAAATGACTAGTAAAATTGAGTAAACAAAGTGAGTAAAGTTTGACCCTGTGAATAGTGACTGGGAAGATCTATGGTGGACAGAGGGAGTATAATTTAACACTTCCTTATTTTTGCCCCCAAATCAAATGGGAAGGGTTTTTCCAAACGGAGGGAGTATATTGATAAATTATGTAAGTCAAATATGGAAAGTTTAAAATAAAAATGACTAAACTCTTGTTTTATAAATAAAAATAAAGAACTCTTATTTTGAGGATAAATGCTACTCTGTATGTTTTGTTCCTATTTGGAGGAATTTCTTACGTTTTAAAGTCTAATGTCGTTCAATTAAGTTGCAAATATTTTATTGGCCAAATTATCACCCGTTATTGTTTTCCGATCTACTCACTCCTCATTAGAAAGACCTATAATATAATTTACTACAACATTATATTGTTGCAATATGACACATTAGTGGACGTTATAATTAATTAATAGCATCAATAATATATCCTCTGTATGTATTATTAATTAATAATTAATGGGTAATATTTAATAAAAAACACATAATATCATGTTAATATTATGATTAGCATTATATTCATCATCCTCTTACGTAGGTGCAGAATAGAGCATCAAACTGGCGGCGTTTCCTGCAACAGTATACATACAACAACACAATAATCTACATATCTCCTTCCATTCATATGATATATGACAATTATATATATATATATATCTGTGTGTGTATCATGCAAACATTCTATATAATATTCTTTTTAAAAAATAAAAAATAAAAATCCTCTGATTCGTATGGCGCGCTATAAATGAGAGCTAGCTATACATACTCCGATCCGTATACATACATACATACATACATACATACATACATACATACATACATATATATATATATAAATTAAATGAGTACATATAAAATACTAGTAATACGGAGTAATAAGGCCTCGTTTGGGAGCAACTTTTAACGTTTTAGATATTTTTTTAAGGATGTAAATTAACTTAAAAAATATAATCTCAAAGTTAAACGCTAACGATGCGGTTACTAAACACGCACTACACATACATACCCATTACTCCGATGGCCAAACGCAACGTATCTCCCATGGTTTTATATATTTGAGGCTTGATGAGATGATGAAATGGAGAGTATATATGTATATGTGTGGGTGTGTGTGTGTGTGTATATATATATATAACATGAAAATTAAAGGAATGAGAGAGAGACTAGGCATATACAAACCCAGGCCACTTGCATGCATGTATACGAGGGGAATAAATTTTTACACTGTCTCAAAATAATTTTCTCTTTAACATTTATCGAATTTTTTGTGTTTAGGAAAAACAAAAAAAAACATATGACTCAGCTTTTTAATTGAAGAAATGCAAGTGACGCCATGCATGCGGCTGGCACGCAACATTCATTTCACAATTTGGTAAGAGAGCAAATGTAGATGATCACGTTTCCATTTTATTTTATTTACGTTTGTATGTATCACAATCTTGCGTATGCAACAAAATTCTATATTAATTTATTATTAAACTATATATATATATACACACACACACACATATATATACATATATATATACATACATACATACATACATACATACATACATATACATATATATATATATATATATATATATATATATATATATCTGTGTGTGTACGTACTACTTCCTCCGTCCCAAATTATTTGTAATGTTTGATTTTTCAGCAGTTGCAGAAACTTTTGTTTATTTCTACGTTTTCATTGGTTATTTGATAAAATAAAATATTTTTGACACCTCTTATTTTGAAAAACTTTTCATGTAGTTTTTTGATATGTCAATTTTGTTTTTTATTTCTATACCAATATGTAAATAAAATGAATTGAAAAAATTAGATATTTTGACTTGGGAATACAAATGTGACAAATATTTAGGGACTGATATATATATATATATATATATATATATATATATATATATATATATATATATATATATATATATATATATATATATATATATATATATATAGCTCCACTATTAACTTTATTTTGTGGGTTCTCTAGCTCCACTATTAACTTTTGTGTCGGTTTTACTATTTATCTACTCCCTCCGTCCTAAAACTTTCTGTCCAGAGTACTATTCCAACTTCACGAGAATTTATATTTGTTTGTGTTTTTTCATGGCCTATATGATAAAATAAAATATTCTTATCACCACTTGTTTTGTTGAACTTTTGATGTAGTTTTTAAATATGTGTGTTTTATTTTTTATTTCTATACCAATATTTAAATAAAATAGATTGAAAAAACTTGGAATTTTTCTTCGTTTTGCGCAACGGGAAGAAAATTTTAGGACAGAGGGAGTATCATTTTAAATGCACCACTAATAAGTTTGTGTATTTTGTACGGAGTAATAATCTTTGATACGTGATTCCGGCAATTTTCCAATGTTATACTAACTCCATTCTAAAAAAGAATTCCTAGTTTGACCAAATATAAGAATAAGAAAGTGTAAAATTATACTACGTGATGGGTAAAAGTAAGATATGATGAATAAATTATTAGAGAAAAAGTATGATGTGATAAGTATGATATGAAAAAATAAAGATTAAAGTGGTTTTTTGAATGGAATGTGAAAGTGTTTCGTTGGAAGTTAAAAAAATGAAATAGGAAGTGTTTTTGAGAACATAGGGAGTAGTAATTTTTTAAATTTTCATGTCATTCCATCAAGTCTCAAAAATATTGCAACGAAAAGATCTGAATATTATATATCCTAAAGATTACACAATTTATCAAAAATGATAACTTTGATGTTCTTTTCGTTCATAAAAGTACGTCTTTCCCCTTTCTTTTTTCTCTATCCCAAAATATCTTTCTCCTTTCATTTAAAAAACCACTTACTCAAACTAATTCTTACCGCATCTATCACATCGTGCTTATTTGCTTATAATCCACCTATCACATCACGGGTAATGTGGTAAAATCAACAGAAAATATTCATTCTTTAAATGCCATTAAAGTTTAAATAAATAGATTTAAAGACGAAAGAAGTATGAAAAAAGACAGTCACTTAGACTAGCTTACTCAAGTGACGACTTACAATATTTGATAGAAATATAAGATCTCATTTCTTAAAAAAGATTTTCTTTTAAAAAGCAAATTGGACGGAGAGATAAAAACCAATTTTGATCTGTCATTTGAATTGTTTTTTATGCAAATCACATCCCAAGACAGAAATTGCTAACAAGTATACCATCTTTTAATTATAAAAATTTACAACAATTTTAAATCATTTCCCATATGTAACTAAATCTGGGAAATGATTTTAAATTGTTGTAAATTTTAACCCAAACATCATTTCCCATATATAACTAAATATGTATTCGTCCAGTTTTGACATTTGGAACTGTTCATCTAAGAACTTTGACTCATCAAATTCTCTCAATGTGTAAGCCTAAATATAGTCATGTGTGATCTTGTTTAATTTGTCTTAACATATAGATTATTAATATATAATTTCTATAATTTTTTAATATACAAATTACAAGATAAAATGAATTAAAGAAGTGTATTGGATGGTGTGTAAAAATGAAAGTGGACAAATACTCTGGGACAGAGGTAGTAATTTGATTGATAAATCCCCCGGTATTAAATAATTATAAAGTATGTCCTACAACATAACTACCATAGTAGGGAAAAAGTAGCCTTGCAATGGAGACATGTTACCAAAATTAAGACATTATTGCAATGCTAAAAGGACTCACATCCCAATTAGTTTCATGGTCCATGTCTCAATGTGAAGGGTAGATGACAACATCACACACAAACACTTAGTGTCTGTGACATAGGCGTCGATTCCGTGAGATTGGTGTCAATTTTGTCATGGTGTGACCGTAACACAACCCTAAAAAAGAAGTGATCGAAATAGACACTTCTCATCTTTGTTGGTCGGAAATCATACTCAGTAGAGCTGAAACGACATGCAAAGACCCGGTGACCAACACGACTCCGGTGGAAGAATTTCCATCCCTTTCATTCAGAACCAAAGACCCATATCTCAAAGAAGCCATTAGTGGCCCTTCACTGAGTAATATTTGTCTTGACTGATGATGATCCTCCTTTGACAAATTGCACTCTGCGTCGTCTTCTTCGTGATCAAGAACGACATTAATGTCCAGTTCCTTTGAAGCTTTAACCCAAACATCTTTTAAATAAGACGCAGAAGTGGTTCGCGATCTGTCTCCAGCAATGGAGACTTCTGTAAGAAACACAGCTTCCAAACCATCAACTGATAACAGTAACTCTCTTGCAAAACCAAGGTGATCTTTGTCATTTGCCATAGCAACTACTAAAACTAGTCGTTTCTTTGGGAGTGCCATTTTCACTGTCTCAGCCAAAGCTCTCGCAGATTCCTTCGTATGTGCTGAAAAACATTTTTTATATATCTGTGGTCAAAAGATTAAAGATTCTATTTCCCTAATGCATATACGAACGTGTGCATTATCATCCCCAAGCAATCAAGAAGATCTAACCTCCGTCTAGCACTACGTTTATATGATGAGGCAGCCCTAGTCTTTCAGCTTCTTTTGAAGTTAAAATTTGACTTCTGCCCGGCAAAATTGCACATTCTAAACCAGCACGAATGGATGCGTCAGACAACCTCCATCCTGAAACAAAAAGCTAAAATATTTACTACTCCAAGATTAAATCCAGTGGTTGGTTTTACTTGTAACATTAACACTACGTTTGGTAACATGAACTATGAAGGCAAGGGAAATGTTAACGGAAGGAAAAGAAAACTAAGACTATGTTTGGTTCAAGGAATTTGAAAGGGGAAAGAAAAGAAAATGATATGGAAAACAATTTTTCTTGTTTGGTTAGAGAGGAAAAGTGGAAGGAAAAGAAAATGAAAGGAGAAAATGAACTAAGAAGAGGACAAAAAATTTCCTTCTATTTTGGTAAGGAAAAATGAGAGAACCCTCTTTCTTTTCATTTCCTTCCAAATTTCATGAGCCAAACATGGCGTAAAGAATCCAAAATCTCAATTTTGTTTGTTCATTGGAGAAATTGGTGAGAAAAACTCCTCCTCATGGCCCGAAAACACAAATCTAACCTTTGTTATGGAGGCATAGTGCTGCACAAACAGCTGTCACTGCATTTCTAAGTTGGTGGGAACCGAGCATGCGTAGCCTCACATCAAATAACTCAACCGACTGCATGATTATTATTATTTTTTGTGAAAAAAAATAGACTTCATAAGATAGAGAAAACGGTGCATTAAATGTTTAAAAAGAGGTCAATAAACACACACAAAATACACATACCAGAGGAAGGTCTCCATCAATGTGGAGCAAAATGTCACACACTTGGTGAGTTATGCCACATGTTTGACTCAATCTTTTGAGAAAACTCTTATTTCCGGGATCAGAAACTGATACTACAGGTGAAGACACCGAATTTGCTTTATCCCGGAGAATTTGCTCAATATGTGGAAGGAACGGTCCCCCTAGAACTAACTGAAGTACTCAAAATTTGAAAAACAAAACCAAGGGTAAAATCAGCATTTGTATGAGTATGATAAAATATTGAGAACAAAAGGTTTATGCAAGCAAGAACCACCTAACTGGATGGCCATCTTTGACTATCCCTGATTTTGCAACTGCAATACTTTCCAAGGAACCCCCTAAAGCATCCAAGTGTTCCTCGCCAATTGTTGTTATTATTGACGCGACAAGACTGGAGCCGCTAATTACATTAGTAGCATCTCTTGCCCCACCCAACCCAGCCTGCAAATCATTTTATACCTATATAGCATCACACAGCTCAATTGAAAGGGATAATGAGAGAAGCACGATGGATAATACGGTCAAACCTCCACAACTGCAATTTCAATATTCTCTTGAGAAAACAGACTGAAAGCAATAGCAGTGAAAACCTGTGATTTCAATACCAAACACAGTGTTCACTAGCACCTTAAAATGACTTATAAGTTACGGAGTAAAAGACACCCTTTTCAGCAATATCATACCTCAAAATGACTAAGACATCCGTTTTCAAGTTCCACCGCTCTCTCAAGAACTCTCCTCACCATTTGAAAATGACCATTCAATACCTTAGCGCACACTGGTTCGCCATGTCTTCCCAATGTTATACGTTCCCTAATTGTTTTTATGTGCGGACTGTCCGGTAATTATCCAATATTCATTACAATATCATAAGACAGAAGTTTATTTGAGCCAACAAGATAATAAAAAATAAAGTTGGTAAAACAATTGAATACCTAGTATAGCAACCCACAGAGTAGCCTTCTGCTCTTAATACGCTAGAGAGAAATGCAGCAGTTGATCCTTTTCCTTTAGTGCCCGCAATATGAAAAACCTAATGCATTTTCCAAGATTTTAACCAGTCGATAGAATGATTCCATTACACAGTTTATGCAAGCATTGATCAAATCAAAATCACATAGTACCCAATTGCAATTTCAATGACAAAGCCGTTAAATTTAATGTTCTGTATAAAATATAAGCTGTTTCTGAACAGTGAAAAGGGAGAAAAAAAACACAGAAAAGAATGACCTTGAACGTTGAATGAGGGTTACCCAGAAGAGCCATTAGGCGCCTCATTCTACCCAGATCGAACCCGTGGCCGGAATCCGTCCCGGCGCCTTTGGGTACCCCTGATTTCTCGTAGTTCTTGAGGTTGTCTATGAAATCAAGCATTTCCTTGAGTTCTGGATCCTCATTTGACACTGTTGACAAGGCTCGAAACAGCAAGGGACATTTTACTCCAACGACTGAAGAAATTGGACTGCTTCTGTTTCTGCTGATTGAATGAGCGAACCCAGTGAGGATTCTTAAAGCTCTCATTTTTACGCACCCGCTCAGATTTTCAGTAGCCCTTAATGACGAGTGAGACTGTGCAATATAATCCTCCTAAAACTAAAAGCAGAACCCAATGGAGAGACAACTGAAAGCCTGCGAATGGGATTCGATTAAGATTTGGGTAAATGGAAATAGGGTAAATCGAAGTCGAAGATGGAAAAGAAATTGTGGGAGCAAAAGTCAAAGCCGAAGTTGATGATGCGCAGTGAACTCGAAGTCGATGAGCTGAAGAAGAGGAAGAAGAAGGCTTATTTTGCAATTTTGTCATATTAAGGAAGTTTAATTTTGTTGGTCAAAGTTTTAAATGTACATCAAAAATTAATAAAAAGTACATTAAATTGTCAAAAATTAAATTATACTCTCAATTGGTCGATAACCTTTGTTTATTTTTATTGATCATTTAATAAAATAAAATATTTTTATTAAATACAAAGTATTATTTTATAAATTTTTGGTATTGTTTTAAAATCTGTAATTTGTACTTTTAATTTTCTCAATTCTCATTTGTAAATAAGAATTATCTTACTCCCTCCGTCCTAAAACTTTCTTCCCAGAGCACTATTCCAACTTCACAGGAATTTATATTTATTTGTGTTTTTTCATGGCCTATATGATAAAATAAAATATTCTTGTCACCACTTGTTTTGTTGAACTTTTGATGTAGTTTTTAAATATGTATGTTTTATTTTTTATTTCTATACCAATATTTAAATAAAATAGATTGAAAAAACTTGGGATTTTTCTTCATTTTGCGCAACGGAAAGAAAGTTTTAGANTCCGTCCTAAAACTTTCTTCCCAGAGCACTATTCCAACTTCACAGGAATTTATATTTATTTGTGTTTTTTCATGGCCTATATGATAAAATAAAATATTCTTGTCACCACTTGTTTTGTTGAACTTTTGATGTAGTTTTTAAATATGTATGTTTTATTTTTTATTTCTATACCAATATTTAAATAAAATAGATTGAAAAAACTTGGGATTTTTCTTCATTTTGCGCAACGGAAAGAAAGTTTTAGACGGAGGGAGTATAAGAGATTGGACTTTGACATTTTACACATTGTTAAAAATAGGATAATATTTTTCAGACTGAGAGATCATAAATTTAATACTTATCAAAATATTCACTCTAAAATATACTCTATAGTTTTGAACATGCAAAATTTTCTTGGGACAGATAGAGTAGATATTTGCTGAGTCCCTCCATTCTTCAGTCCCAACATTAATTATAATATAGTATTCTCTTCATCCCAAATTATAATGTTTGTTTATTATTCACAGGGTCAAACTTCATTCATTTTTTTCTCTATTTTTGTTAGCAATTTGATAAAATAAAGTACTATTGTCACTACTAGTTTTGTAGACCTTTTGATGTAGTATTTACTGTATACCATTTGTCATATAAAATGATTTGAAAATAATTTCAGCCAAACATCGTAAATCGAAACAGACACTATAAATTGGGACGGAGTAGTAATAATAATAAACAGAAAATACACATACAAAATGGGAAAAAGAAAGGAACTAAACAAGTAAAAAAAATATTTTGCAAATGGTAAAAAAAATTAATGCTCCATATATGTTAAAATGTACGGAGTATACTCCCAGCAATATCTTTTTGTAGTACTTTTTTTCATACCAGAACTAGAATATATTTTTGTAGTTCTGACTTTTAGTGTTTCTTTGCATGAAACCCAATCTAAGAGGGTGTTTGGGAGTGATTAACTTATGGATAAAGTGATTTATACAAAAAGCTTAAAGCAAAAGCACCTCATACCTGCTTCTTCGAAACGGTGTTCCATGTACAAAATAATGTTGGTGAAAAGCAAAAGCTAACATGCCAAACAGAGTAAAATCACTTACACTCAAAGCAGAAGCTAAATTCTTAAAAGCAACGCTCTTCCAAACACCCTCTAAATGGACAACTAGAGTCTGTAGTTTGGAGCATAGTTTTAAAAACCGGACCGGCCGGTTCGGACCGTTAACCGTCAAACCGGTCCGGTCCGGCCCATTGGACCGTAACCTGCTTCGAACCGGCCCAAACCGGTAAAAACCGGCCGGTTGGACCGGTCTGCCCAATTTTTTTTCCTTTTTTTTGCTGATTTTTTCCAAAACATGCCTCCATGGGGGAGGGGGGTTTGAACCCAGAACTCTTAGACATTTGGTTGAACTTCTAACCATTCAAGCAATGATGCTTTTTGTTTCAAGTTCACATAATCTTTTATAATATTTCATAATTACAAAAAAGATTGTATATAAATTCCTTTTCAATTTTATAAATATAATACTCCCTCCGTCCTAAAATTAATTTCTCATTTTCCTTTTTGGGTTGTCCTAAAATTAATGGCAAACTTTTTTGTATTGAATGACAACAATACCCCCACAACTTATCCTTTTTTCCAACAAAGATCCTCTCTCGTTTCCATCTCCTTATCAAATGAGCTGCAAGAATGACATGTTCATAGTACTCCTTTGGATTCGTTTTCATGGGCAACAATTCAACAACTTTAGCAATGAACAAGGTTTTGTACATGGGCAATTTCGTAATCTATTTCTTTTTTCTTTTGATTTAGAACTCAACTTTCTCTTTTGATTTAGAACTCAACTTTCTCTTCGATCTTGATTTCCTTCTTTTTATCAATTCCATTTTCCTTTTCTTTTTTCGATTTTGATTTCTCACGATTGAAACTGGTATCGACATCGGAAAAGCAAGCCTCCATGAGCAAATTGGATCTGTAATTATGACTCCACATCAGATCTGTGAAGGAGATTCAGATCTGCCTTTTGAAATGGCCATGGAGCAGCACTGGCTAAGGTGAAGCTTTTGATAAAATCCACTTGATGGTGATGTTAATGGTGGAGGAGAAGGATGGAGATGGAGGAGCACACGGTAGATCTGGAGGATAACTTTTTTTCTTTATTTTTAAATGGAGTACAACAAAAGTGCAAAAGGCAGGGGCATATATGGATAGTCAGAGTAAATTTTACACATCATTGTACCGGTCGAACCGGGAAATTAAATATAGAACGGAGGGAGTACTCCTTTTCAATTATATAGCTATGAGTCAAACACAAAATCATTGAAATTATTGATACTATTACACAAAATCATTGTATATAAATTCCCTTTCAATTTTATAAATATAATACTCCTTTTCAATTATTCCTTTTCAATTATATAGCTATGAGTCAAACACAAAATCATTGATATTATTGATACTATTACAAAATGCAAATCATGCAAAGATTTTGTTTTTTATATTAAACAACTTATTTGAAAAAAATAAAATCAACTCTTCATTTAAAATTCTTTTATATTTTTTTAATATGTAAATTTTATTTTTTAATTTTAAAAAATAACTCAAGTATATTAATATAACATTACTTAAATGTTATAAATTACTTTCTTTAGATATTTATAAATGAGAATGTGTGTCTATATGTATGTATGTGTGTGTGTGTAAATATATATACATATACATACACACACATATATTTATTTATTTATTTATATTTATATAATTTTTAAATATTTTAAATCACCGGTTCGACCAGTTGAACCACTAGTTCGACCAGTAAACCAGTGAACCAGTACCTTGACCGGTTTGGTCACCGGTCCGGTTCTGAAAACTATGGTTTGGAGTATTAGACAAAGTTTTCCACTACAGTAAATTACTAAATATATATTGACAAAATTTTCCAAAATCTCTTCTTCTTCTTCTTCTTCTTCACCATAGACACTAAACAAACCGAATTGTTCAGGTAAAAAAAGTGAGAAGACATGTTATTTCATTTCCTAACAAGTGGTGATGATCGCTCATGATCTTTCCCAACGCAGATAAGAAGCCCCGACTCTTCTTCCTCACGAGGCCGAGTTTTATTCGTCAGTATATGCCAAAATATATCAATCCGATTCTCAGAGTGCCTTTGTACATCATCTTATGGCATCGCGTACTGGTGATGAAAGACGTATTTTACAACTTCATAGAACGACACCACTATACCAACAGATGGGCCCGCCCGGCCAACGCGGGGCCCAACGCCTGTGAACAGTCCCTTCATGCCCCCATCTCTGCAATGAGCCCATATAATAGTCTATTAATTATGTGTCTACTTGACTATTTCAGCTAATGGTTATTGGGACTAGTTCGAGAAATGTACCTCCAAACCTCCATTAATGTCTTTCTTGTCGTCATAGTCAGTGCTCTGATGGGGTCCTTCTGCAACCCCCCCAAAAAAGAAGCCAAATAATGCAACAAAACTATTGAGGTAAGGGTGGGAAGAAACAAATCAGGGGAAAAGGTCTAATGCAACCAAACCTCAATCTGCCTTCGGGTTTTCGCCACGTCAAGTGGACAAGTCGCAGCAGCAGCAAGGCTTCCTGCCACAAAACCAGCAGAGAAATTTGCTCCAAGGATGCCAACAGCATTTTTGTCATCACCCATCAAACCAAGAAGCCATCTTCTTGTCTATTAACAGCAATCAGACAATCAAACCTTGAAATAAACATATTCAAGGGGGCACAAATTCAAATTTAATAGTAAAAGCATGTGAACTCACTGGCTCTAGAGTCGACCAACATATTGCAGAAAATGGAACATCGCGGGCAAGTTGTGCCCCTAGGCCTGTCCAAAGTACGCGATAGCTTTGAACTGCAATGAACATTTCTATTTTAGCACGAGTTGTTTTGAGGGGAAATTTTGTTTCACAATGTGTTCTTTTTATAAAATGAAAAACAATACAAAATGATACATTCTCATGATTGCTTGTATTTAAAACCTACCTCTATGCAGAGAAAATCTTCAATGATAATATAGAGTTAGTAAAAGGTAATATTTAAATTTGCATTTAGTAATCTTCAACGAAAATGTGAAAATCAACTTACTGCTGTTACTAGCATTAGCAGTGGTCTTAACACTAGAGACGGCCTCAAATAAGGTCTTCACGACTCCAGGAGGCTTTTTACCCTTGTGCATTTCCTTGAAAGCCTAGTTCATAAAGCACATATTACTTGAAAGTCACATACTAATTGTAGGACAAATAAGCAAGAATGGTAAGACACTAAGACTTGAGGGTACCAACTACC